AGCTCGAGGCCCCGCATCCATGCTCTCCTGGTTTTATCTCGGTAGCACTCATCCTGGGCTCGCTTACACACTGTTTGCTATCCCTCTGTGTGCAGATGCAGCGAGTGTAATAAAACCACTATTCATCAGCCAGAGATTAAGGACAGAGAGGGCTGCGTGTTTAGTGTTGGCGCAGTCGGAGCGGCTGCAGACAACTGCAGGCGTGGCAGCTCTCTCTACCATGTGCCCTACTCAGGCGCAGGGTTCAGCTGGGGCGCGTGTGGCTTGCCCTCTCTGGTCAGTTACACATGAGGTTTTCACTCGTCTAAGAAAGTGCATTGAGGATCCGTGCAGGCTGGACACCTTTGATAATCTGTTCAAATTTAACAGGCCTATTCTCTTTAAGGTGGAACTTCTCCAAGAAAAGGAACAGAGTGCAGACAGACACACAGGCTGAGAAGGGCATTGTGGCTCGGCAGGGAAATGGTGATGAGAATCCCTCCCAGGCTCTGTCTTGTCTGTCTGGATCCTGCCAGGCTTGGCATAGGTCAGGCCCTATGGGCTGTCTGTGGGGACACACCCGGGGGGGTGGGCTGCGGGTTGGTGAGAGGGGACAGCCACCTGCACGAACACAGAAGGCAGAGTGCCACCTCCTGGGGGCCGCAGCGCGGCAGTACCTGAGGGCAGCACTGAGGCCGCGGCAGGGAGGCCTCCCGCATTGAGAGATGGTTGGTGCTGGGGGAGCTGGGAATTCCAGCTCTGAATCCAGACCCCTAAGTGTGCAGTGGCTGTGTCTCTGTCTTTTTTCGCCTGTGTGGCAGGGGGGGCAGACGGGAAGCTCAGGGCGGGAGTTTTGTGTATGTCAAGATTGTGGGGGGAAAGGTGAGAGACTTTCAAGGTGTGGGCATGGCCCTGGCAACCCTTTCTCTCTGTCCATTTCTCTTCCTGGCGGCCTCATGCTGAGCTGTGGCCAGTTCCCTGATGACAGGTGGCCACCGCCCGCCACACTTCCCCGGGCTCGCCGGGGAGAGCTGAGTCTGCAACCTTCCCTGTTCCCCGTTAATCACCTTCCTGCAGGAGATGAAACACCACGGTGTGTTTCCGGGGTGATTTTGTAGAGCGGTGCTAAGGGCAGTCTCTGTACAACAGGGAGCCTGTTGGCTGCCTCCCCACCTGTCTTCCCCTGACCCCCCACCCACCAAAGCTGGCCCTGGCTGAGGCAGCAATTACGCTCCTCCTGCCTTTTTTTTTTTTTTTTTTTTAAACCTGGGAGAATTGTCTCCTCTGCATTGTTGTGGAGACTCGATAAATGAGACAGATAGATGGGGGCAGGTATGAGGAGGTGACAGGAGCTGGCGGCCAAGTTCCCTTTGTGATCCATCTCTGCAGAAGCCAGCGTTAATGCCGTGGAGACTCAGCAAGACCGATCTCCGGCAGTGACAGTTTGGACGTCTAAACATGACCTTGGATGTGCCCAAACCACAGCTGAAGCCATGCCAGCGCCTCAGTGTAGTATATCACAGGGCCCGCCTAGCCATGCTGAAAGCTGGCTGCGTTTGGAGCGTTCGTGAATTTGCAAATGAACGTCTTTGGCCCTGTTAGTGCAGTGCAGGGTGGTGAGGCTGCTTCTGTACCAGTCAATTTCCAATAATTAGACACTCGCAAGGAAGCCCGGGACAGCCTTATGATTCAGCAGGAGGCTGTGTGATGTCTCCACAGTGGACGTCAGAAACATTGATGTGGACAGTTTAGGGGTTGGCGAGCGTCACTTCCTGCCCTGCGGCCGTCCACCTGGTGTCTGGGCAAAGTTTCTGCTGTTGGAGGGAAAAATAACTGGGGCCCTGCCTCCCAGAACAAACTGGTCATAAGAAAGTTCTCTCCTGCAAAGTAATGCAAGTGTTTCAGACAAGAGGCACTTCCTCATGCGTACCTGCCCTGCGGCTCTCCTTTCACCAGAAACCAGGTTTCTCAGTGAATGGTTTTGAAAGTGCGGTGGCCAGACCAGGCAGACCAGGTCGGAGCCAGTGATCTGCGTTCATGCGGGCTTCCCGGTGATGCCGATGAACAGTGAATTTAAATGTTATCGAGCCTTCGGGGGATCTGAGGAGGACACGGAAGACCACTGAATTTGAAAGGAAAGAAAACAAAAACAACAAGAACAAACCTGGTTCTGAATCTTGGTTCTGCAGCTTAGTATTGGTGTGATCTTACTCAATTTGGATATTTCCTAGCCTTGGTGAACCCCATTTCTAAATCGACAAGGATAAGTGAACCCAAACAATTTTTTGAGATCGTAAAATAGTATATGTAATAGGTTTGCTTGATATAGTAACAGCATATAATAAGATGCGTTCAATAAACATTAGCTAGGAATGTGAGTTTCACCAATTTCTCTGCTTGAATCCAAGCACAATTTAGGGTAGGGACTTCCTTTGAGGTCATTAATACAAATAGCATCCCAGGTGCCTTACTAGCAAAGCAAGTTGTGGACTGGGTTGTTCTTAAGGGATTTCAAACCGCTGTGGTTCCGAACCCACATTTCAGGCGCGGCAGCTGAGAGGAGAGCAGCAAGTCTACTGGGAAGGCCTGGGAAGGCGTGGGAAGGTGCATATCAGGTGCTTCCTCTGCTGGCTAGGCTGTTCTTCTCCACCTCCGTTCACTCTGCAAGTATATTCTCAGTATGGTCAGCAAAACCGAAAGGAAGTCTTGGAGTACGCCGCAGACTAGGCCAAACTTCCTGGACACCTGGTTACTAAGGCATCTTATTAAAATGCCGTTCCAGCTCATTACTTCTGCAGTGAAGCCTGAAATTCTGCATTTCTAACAAGCTTCCCATTGATGCTGATCTGATGGTTTTCTGACTACGCTTTCATAGAGTGAGGTCCTTACTCAGTGCTTCTCAGACCTTAATGTGCACACGATCCACCTCTAGCTTTATGCTACTGAAGTAATGGCCTAGGGGCCATCAGCATGCACGCCGCAGGGGGATTTCTAAAACTGCAGACTCTCAGGCCCCTCCCAAGACCTGCCAAGTCAGGATGTGCATTTCAGTAACTTCCCAAGCAGATTCACAAGCACGGTGAAGTCTGAGATCCATTCAGGGCTTGTCTTTATTCACATAGGGTCCTGCCCTCAGAAGGGCCCCACCCCTTGTCAAATGCTCCGCCATCACCACCTTTAAATCATTAATAATTCTCCACTGAAGGGCTCTGCCCTTTCACTTTGCGCCCGTCCCACAAGTTAGGTAGCTGGTTATGGGGATACATTGCTGTGCACTGGTGTTTTTCAAATGTTGGTGTGTATATGACTTAACTGCGATATTATTAGGAATTCATATGTTGGAGGTTCCCAAAGATTCTGAGTCAGTAGGAAAAGAGAATCTGTAACATGCTCCTCATGCGACTCTGATGCAAGAGACCCATGCCCATTTACAGAAATCCTCCCCAACCGTTTCCTGCGTCGGTCTCCTAGCGTCTCCATCCTGTGTTGTTCTGAAAATACCGTGAGCAGCGGAGCACCTGCTGGCCACCCGAGCTGAGGCATTTCTGGCCGAGCAGCTCTCTCCACAGGAGCTCTCAGCACGGCTTTCCACCTGCGCCCGCGAGTTCCTGCGGTGGTCGGTGACATTTACACAAGTGCGTGGGAGGGTGCACGGCACAGGATATCTCCTCTCGAGAGGGACCACCTAGGGAAGCTGGGGTGCTCAGCGGCGGTTCTGAGGTTTTTTACGTTCACAGCCCATTTTGAGAATTCTGTGGAAGCAACCGTCCCCCTCCCTCGTGAAAAATCCACCTTTCCATCCCGGGGAGCACAGGGGACTGGGAGTTAGACAACCTGAGTGAGGGGTCTAACTTCACGTCCTAGCTCTTTAGCCGGGGGCCGGTCGCCAGGCCATTCCGAACCCCAGAGTCCTGATCTTTAAAGGACAGAGTGGGTAAGATCGTCTATGTCACAGATTTATTGCAAGAATGAAATGAGACAGTGAGCATGGTGAAGTACTTTGCTGCACTGCGAAAGGATATATACATTGGAGGCGCCATTATACATACTGCACTCCTCTGCTATGTCCAGCGTTATAGTTGGGATCAGGCCACGGTGTCCGTGAATCGAGCCTCAGGCCGTAGAACACGTTCGGTGTGGCGAGAGCAGGCAATGAGTGCAGACAGGCGGATGTGATGGGGGCCTGGCGAGAGTGGCTGGGAAATGCAGGGGAAGGGAAAGGGGCTTCCGCATTTTAGGAGCTCCAGGTGCAAGGGTAAAAGAAAGCACATCTATTTTTACATGTGCAACCAATTTTGAGGTTTTTAGAAAATGTGTCCAGTCTTGCAATAATTGAGCATTTCTGCCCTCAAACATAATGAAGATAAGCAGCAATGGCGGCGGTTCATATTTAGTTTTGACTTCAGAAGCCTTCGGTCAGGATTCACTCTTCTGAGATAAGAAAAGAATGTTTGGTAGCTAAAATCTGGGTCTGTGATCTAGCACACAGTTATCTGTGTGACTTGGGAAAATATTTAGTTTCTCTGCTTTTTAATTTCTGGTACCAGTGGAATCTTCCTCTTGGGTTGTTATAAGCGTTGAATGACGTATGACATCTAAAACACCTAGAAAGTCATCTAAGGGGTTGCCATCATCCACGTCATGGAAATCCTTGAGCGAACGGAGGCTGCCAGTGCTGCAAGGGCCAGGCCCGTCTGGGTGTGGAAGACGCCTCCGGGTCGTAGCTGGGAGTGGCTGGGGCTGTTGCAGTGACCTGAGCTCAGCGGGTTTCAGAAGCACTGAGTTGCTCAGGACCCAGACTTCTGACAAAGCCAATGTTCAAAGGCCAAAATCCCCTCAGACTTCAGCTGCCAAATTCCAGAAAGTACCACCCGTGACAAATCAAGCAAAGGAAATGCATGTTTGTATACTGGGGGTGGGGATTAAAGACCAAAGGCATAAAAGCTCCTCCTGCCCTTGCCACGGACCCCACTCTGAGAGCTTCCACTGTCTCTGACTTACCCATCTGGCCTTCCCTCCAGGTGCACGATTGACAACCGGGTCACCCGGGTGGCCTGGCTAAACCGCAGTACCATCCTCTACGCTGGGAATGACAAGTGGTGCCTGGACCCACGTGTGGTTCTCCTGAGCTACACCCAAACCCAGTACAGCATCGAGATCCAAAACGTGGACGTGTATGACGAGGGCCCGTACACCTGCTCCGTGCAGACGGACAACCACCCTAAGACCTCTCGGGTCCACCTCATCGTGCAAGGTAGGCGGGGCTGGGCCGGGCGGTCTGGTGGCGGCTGAGAGAGTCCGCCTTAGACACTCTGTCTGTGATCCTCAACAGAAATGAGTTCTATTTGTTCCATCAGCCAGGACAACTTGCTAATTGTCATTTTGCCATCAAATGCTAAATTTTCAAATAATTTTCCCATTGAATAGGACCAGGACCTTCCTTTTTGTTTTATTTTTGTTCCAATAATATATAGTCTCAGAAAATTATCTTCTAATTATTGCTTTGCTTGGCTTTTTTCTCCTCTAATTTTTTCTAGGTTCCAATTCTAAGCTCGCTCTATTTTCAGACCAGCGTTTTAGGTCTGGCGCTGTACACCTGCCACACCCTCACACAGCCTTCTGAGAAAGCAGAGCCAAACACAGATGCTCTGAGCACCCGCGGGGACACATCCCTCACACCGCCCGCATCGGTCCCCATGTCCTTCGTCTCCTCTCGCCTCCCTGCTCTGGGCTTCTGACCCCACACCACACCTCTGCTGCCAGCTTTTCAGAGCTGTATATTTGGTCTCTTTTTGCATCTCTCTTGGTTGTAATGTCTCCGTGTTTCCCAGGCCCTGGGAACAAATGGTGCTGACCTTCCCCATGAAGCAGAACTGGTCCTGGGGCATTCACACACACTTAATCACGTGGACAAATCCCTAACGAGGGAGGAAGAGCCCAGAATCTGATGTGGCTGCTTTTTGGCTCGGAGCCTTGGACCAGGTTACTGACTGAGCCCCAGGTTTCCTTCAGTAAAGTGGAGTCGGTGCTGTGAGGAGCTGTGGCGAGGATTACGTTTTACATGGACTGATGTGTAAAGTATTTAGAAGAGGGCCTGGCGCCCAGAGGTGTTAAGGGTTAGCTATTTTTAATATTGTTGTTATTTTTTAAATTCTCACCCAAGGTTATGTCCTTTCATTTGTTTTAGAGAGAGAGGAAGGAGCGGGGAGGGAGAAGGAGAGGGAAACATCGATCAGGTGTCTCCCACATGGGCCTCCGCCAGGGATGGAACCCACAACCTATTTTTGGTACGGGACGACACTCCAGCCAAACGAGCCACCTGGCCAAGGCCACTGTCGCCATTTTTAACTTTTTAGACATCTTTCACAGTGGACCTAATACTTTGTTTTGTTATCTTAGATGCTTAAGGCCTTGGCAGTGGAGCCCGGCTCTTCCGTTGCTGCTTCTTTCCCAGTCTGCACCCCCGTTCCCCTCACGCAGCTAGATGGCAGGCTCCGGCAATACACTTCTCTTTGGAGGCTCCGTCAGCCGCCATGTCTTCTCAGTGTGCCCAGGGGAATGGCGAGGAGTCTTGGTTAGAAAGGCAAGGGCAGGAGGGTGGCTGGAGAAGGCAGGGGAGCTGGGAGAACGAGGGAAAGCCAGCTGGGAGAGGGCGGGGCGAGTGCAGCTGGGATCGAGGGTGCGGACTGTGGCGAGAGAGAGTGTGACCCATGAGGAGGAGGAGGCTTGGCTGCAGTGAGAAGAGTGTAGGCATTTGCTCTGGTCAGGGACGATGCCAGGGGAACACAGGCCCCTCACGTGTGACAAAGCTTGGTCATACTAAGTTGTTTTAGTTTTTTTCTTTTTCTTTAAGATTTTATTTATTTATTTTTAGAGAGAGGGGGAGGGAGGAAGGGAGGGAGAGAAACATCACTGGTTGCCTCTCATACGTGCCCTGACCGGGGACCAAACCCGCAACCCAGGCATGTGTCCTGGCTGGGAATTGAACCGGTGACTTCCACTTTGCATGACGACACCCAACCAACTGAGCCATGCAGGTCAGGGCTAATTTTTTTTTCTTATTCTGTATTTCTGAAAGGAAATTATGATAACCTTTTCTTTTATCGGTTGTATAAATGAACATTTTTCAAACTGTTGGGTGGCAACAGCACTTTTTAAAGGAAGTAGAATCACATAGAAGGCATCCGAATGTATTGCAAACAGTAAAGTAGGTATTGTTACATAAAATTTTGTGTCATTGAAAGTTTTTAGTGGAAAATACATTTTTTATTGTGGACAGTTGGCCAGAAAGGCTTGAGAATGACTCTCCTAGGAGGAGCTCCCCTGAGCGCTCCAGCAGCATCATTTACAACCTACACCAGACGGTGCTTTTGAAACCATTCCCCAAGCCCCCAGCCCACCCCCCGTGCACACACCTATTGTCAAGAGCAGAACATCGAACAATGACAAAGACACTAGGACATGACTATTACAGGCATTTGCTTTAGGAAGGACTGTTATGGAACTGGAAAAATGAAGGAACAGTGACAATTTTTGACGCCTCCTTGAAAACAAAGACCCCATTTTTATAATTTGTTTTAAGCCCACACACTCCAGCCCTAAGCACCTGGTGCATGCCTTATACAACGTGAACTTTTAGTGAATGCTCGTTGATGCCAATGGCTGGAATTATGGCCCAGAGGTCTTATGCAGGCTCAGAGAGAGGAGGCTGAGTCTGTGCAGATGGGGAGCGGGGAGGAGGCGAGGGGACGGGGGCTACATCAATTTTCACTCATGTCCAAGATAATGGAAAATGTCTAATCCCCAGCAAGGTGTTTCCATCTGAGAGTTGGCTAGGTGCCCTCTTGGCATGGCACGCCACCTCAAGTATTGGAATCTCATCGTCGGCTAATTTTCGAATGCTGATGGGTGTATTGATCTGGAGACAAGCTGGGTTAAAAAAGGCACTGGTCTTGAACATGGACTCTGCCCAGGCTAATCCGCTGTCGATATGCCCGGCCTGAGCATTATTGACACTTTAATGAATAGAGGACCATAGTTTTTCAGAGCCAACCTGTCCCCCCTCTTAAAAGCAATCAGACAAACTAAATAGAGCCAGACTCCCCTGTTTCTATATTGGAAAGAGGATACATCACCATCCAGAATTAAAAAAGTATATGTATTTATCTTGGGATCATTTATTGTACTGAGCATCAAGCCTAATTCCCCCAGCACAAGCTGACTGTCTGAATTTTGTTGAAGTTGCTATTTAACTCTGAGCAGAATGCTGCTGGAATGAAAGTTAGGCATATTCAGTTCTCAAAATGATGTTGTGATCATTAAACACTCACATGCACACAATAACGGCAGGAAAAAAACCCTAAACTGATATTCTGCCCATGAGTATATGTATTTATGTATATGTAGTCAGCTTTATATATAAATAAACCCACACAGAGGAAGGTGATGCATTTTTATAGTACCACGCGAGCCGCTGAAGGCCTGGGTTTGTGCCTTTCTCCTTCCTATCAACACGCCTTCTGTCTCACTCGTTCTTCACCCTGGAGCTTCTCTGTGGCTGTGATTCGATAGGTGTAATTCTTGCTGACAGCCAGGATGCCTGAGACAGCCCCATGGGCCCTCATTCATTCATTCATTCATTCATTCACTCACGCACACAGTCAGTGACCGCTGAGAACCAACTCTGGCTGCTGGCATGCTGGCCAAGCAATTAGCATGAGAAGATGAATAAAAACCTGCCCTGGAAGAGCTCATTCCCATTCGCCTACAACATTTGCCTGAATCACCCCCCAGAATTTAGCTCCCAGGCTGAGCCACCATTGACTGCACCGTGCAGGGCACCGGCCTCCCGCAGACTCCCCTGGAAGCACCTGCAGCGCGGGTTCTCTCAGCCTGTGTCGTCTAATTGGACATTTTAATAGAATTCACAAATGACCCACATGGCAGTCAGGCTGGTCTGGTTAAGCAGCGCCCCGCCCTCCCCGCGTGGCTCAGTCCCGGGCTGTTGGCCAGCTCTGGCCGAGAAGCCAAGGGCCCGGGCCTCTCCTTGGCCCCTTCCTCCAGAGCTGCAGCGGCAAGCCTCGCCCGGGTCCTCCCCCCTCAGGACAGCCTGTCACTGGTGGCAAGTGCTGGGTTCGTGCTTTGTTCTCTAGAATATTTTTAAAATGTGCTGATAACACTTTATAGCCTTGTGGTAAAGGAAAAGGGAAATGCTTGTTTCTTTTTTTTAGTGGGACAACTCTTTTTCCTCACTACCTGTTGCTGTTGGGCTGTATCCTCCTTTCTTCCCCTTCCCCCAAAGAAAGCTCTAAGGCTGCCTAAGGGGCCCTCGTGGTTTCTAAAGGTGCCGGCAGGGCAGGGCAGGTGTCTGGAGCATAGGCCGGGGTCAGCCTAGCCTGGGGCTATGGGGGAGAGCCGCTGCCGGGCGCAGCCTCGGAGGACGGAGGGACAGCCGTTCGGTAGGGCCACGGGTCCGCTTCAGACCGCGGAGAAGTCACCCTGCCTGGCTGGGATGTAAGAAGGGTCTGCAGGGAGAAGGAGACGTGCAGCTGATTTGCACTGTCCAGGGTCAGCACAGGGCGGACAGGGAACAGGCTCAGGGCAACGGGCAGAGTCCGTGGTTCATGGGGGACCAGTGTGCAGGCAAGCGGGAACGGGGACGGCCTTGGCGAGGAGAGTGGCCCTGGGGACAGTGTGGAAAGGAGGCGGAGGGCAGGGCAGCAGGGGCTGCTGGCAAGAAAGGGGTGGTGGCAGGGAAACTGAGCTCAGTGGCCACTCGTCATAGTGTGCCTTTTAAATTAAATTGAACTGAGCTAAAACCAAATAAAATTTAAAATGCAGTTCCTCGGCCACACTAGCCTCATGGCAAGTGCTTCAGTAGCCACAGGTGACCGGTGATCCTGTACCCGACAGTACAGATGGGGAATGTTCCCACCGTCGTGAGCAGCTCTGCTGGGCCGTGCTGTTCATCGGAGCAATGGCCACTGCCGGCCAGCAGCGTTAGAGCACGAGTGGGCGTCAGTGACCCGAAGGGCCCGGTGTGGTGGGGAAAGGAGAAGGCAGTTTTGTAGAGACGATGGACATGAAGAGAAGGTGGAGATCTTTTAAAGAGAGAATTGTTTAAAAATCTGAAGGACTGGTGTTCTTTTGTTAACTAGGACGGAGAAGAAGGGCCAGAGTCCGTAGATGTAACTAAAGGACCCTAGACAGAATTTGGGGACTAGCTGCATGTGGACGTCGGGGAGGGGAGGCCAT